ACTCAGGGCAGAAGCAGGCAGTTCTCTATAAGTTCCAGGACAGCCAGGACTACACACAGAGATCCTGTCTTAAGAACAAAATTACTAACACTTAGAAAAAACTAGGGAAAGTGTAAACTGCAAAAGTGACTAAGGAGGAGGAGCCAAAGAATCAGAAGACACAAAGTTAAGACAATCATGTCAAGATGACACAATTAGCTCTCCTGAATGAGCCTAGAGGACTCAGCCTGACCCACAGCTAGCACCCTCAGGAGAACTTCCAGCCCACAGTGCTCTCCATGTTCATAGGTCTGTCACGGAGTCACTGCACTCCAGGTACCAGCAGTCTTGCTCTTCAATGTTACTACAGCCCAGTACACAAGCTCCACACCAGCAGTGAGCAGGATACAGTGAGCAAAGTCCCTCCACTTTGCAGACCTGCTTAACCCTCAGCTGCTCTAGGTCCATCTCTGCAGAGATGGCACAGGCACAGGGCATAGCACAGACATCCCAGAAATCATGGAGAGAAACGAAGACCAATCAATGCCAGCCCTGCACTTACATGTAGCGGGAGAGCTTCCTGTACTAAAGGTGAGCTGGGCCTCCATGAAGGTCCCCTGAACCAACCCAAGGAGGCTCCAGCCCCTCCTGAACTCAGGATAATGCTCGATTATCCAAAACATGTGGGCCTCTTTGCAAAATGCACTGACGCCTGTGCCTTCCTCCCACCAGCTTTGCCTCCAGTCTTGCCTTCCTCATCTGCCCCTCTTCTCAGATCAAAAGCCTCCCTAGGAAGCCTCTGGTCTACTTCTCAAACACACGCTGTTCAGCTGGTAAGCCTGGAGCTTTAGGCCACAGGCTAGAACTCAAGTTCTTCAAATGGCTGCCCGTACAGGTCTCACTCCTCACCATCCACAAACCCTACTGGCCTGCCACCCCCAAGGTTGGACACCCACCCCACAACTGGCCAAGCAAAGGAACAAGAAACCTCTTGGGGAGCATCAAAGAACAACAGGTAAAATAAGGAGAGGTCGTTTGGGGAGGGGCAGGGAGTTAAACTAAATCCTATTAAGTATCTTTTCTATAAAAAGCATAGAAGAAAATGAAATCTACACCCACTAACTAAACCCACAGTAACAGCGCCGATGGCTACAGCCTCAAGCCCTACAAACCCAGATCAGCTCATCCAGCTCTGAAGAAAGATGGACACAAAACGGTTTTGTCAGGGCGAGAGCAGATTTCTTTGCTCCGGTGGGATTTCTACTGCCACTTCAGTTCCCATTTCTCAGTGCCGCACTAATCAGGCCTTTTCCCAACAACAGAGATGTGAAGCAGCTTTGGGGGCTGGAGTAACAACAGCAAGGAGAAGGAGCTGTGGCTTCCCCGAAACGAGAGTGTGAAATGAAAACATTGGCTGAATTCCTCAGACTTAGTTAAATCTGGAAATGGATGTCAAAATACCAAGTCAGCCACATACTAACAAGTTATGAGTGTCAATTTCACACAGCCTTGTCAAGCTCAGCAGCAGCCTTTGCCAGGCGCACACACAGTACAGGGAGGCTCTGCTGAGAGCCACCTGACAGCCCCTACCAAGACTCCAGAACACCAATAAGCAGTGCACAGTCACGCGGCACTGCTTACCTTTTCTCTCTGGCTGCTTTTATTTTGTTACACATTTAATTAAGAGCTTTCCCAGCAGTTATGCAGAGTCCTGCTTCTAAAAGGCAGTCACAGGTCCTCCTCCCCGACCCTGTGCCTCTGGCACACCCCTCTCCAGAGCCCCGACTCCCTCCCTAAACTCAAGTTAAGTGCAAACCATGAAGTCTTAGAAGTCCTTTCAGTTTGGTGGAGTCTTTACCTCTATGAGTCCACAAGTGTTCTGCTTTATTCATTTGCTGTGTTTATAAAAGGAGACATCACCTCCTACCATAGACAGCAGTTAGGACCAAATGACATATGCACTTAGATTCCGAAACCCAATCCAGACTCATTTCTCATTAAGACACAGAATGGCAGTGCAGCACAGGGCCCAAAGGCTGGGCTGGTGCTGCAGGCCAGAAGAGGCTGGACCAAGGACAGACAGCACCCTCTGAAACTGTCTCCATCTCATGGGGCAGCCTCCAAACTGAGGAAGCCCAGCAGTGTACAGCAAGTTCTCTGCATGCATGCTTGTGCACACTATTCACAAGTGACAGCAGCACATTCCGAAGCATGATACCAGGGAAGAAAACACTGAAGAGTGGGAGTCCTGCCTGGAGAGGGTACCTGGAGGAACTGGGGCCTGGATGAGGTCAAAGCATCTTCCATTTGGGCCATATGAACCCCAGAATCTGGAGTATCAGCCTGAGCCTGCCCCATCTGAATGGTTTCTCCTGGGCTGCAAAGCCCCACATAAGTCTCTCTAGGCTTCAAAGCTACATAGGATATACAAATGACAACAGCTTTCCTAGGCTGGGGTATAGCTCAGTTGGTAGGATGTTTGCCTTGCATGCACAAAGCCCTGGGTTCAGCAGCCAGCACCACAAGTACCAGGTTTGGTGAAACACACCTATAATACCCAAGACTTAAAAAGTAGAGGCAGGAGGATCAGTGGTCACCATATATAGTGAGTTCAAGGCCAGCCTGAGTTAGTTGCCTCTGATTCACATCTGCTTCCAGACTTCTCCACCCAGCCCATATAATCTTCCTGCCATATGGGACGACAGAGACTCTCTGGAATAAACCTAGAAGTGTGCAACTAGTGTATGTACATAACCAAAAGGGTGGAGCACTCCAGTGCTGTGTGTTCTACAAATCTAAGGTCCAACAACAGGCATGACAAACACCTGGGGGCCTAAGCTCACCCCAATGACCAGGGTCTAAAACACACAAGTGGCCCTAGTGAGAATATAGTATCTGATTTGTAGGAATAGTCACTGCAGTCACTATACCTCACTCCTACCGACACCCCCACCACCTCCCCAGAGAGAGAGAGAGAGAGAGAGAGAGAGAGAGAGAGAGAGAGAGAGAGAGAGAATATGCCTGCTGCTGCTTCAGTCACAAAGAACACAGTGGTATTGATTCTATCCATCCTCAGCAAACAGAGCCCCCCACCCTCTTTGGTTCCCCAGGGGCTGTCTGAAGCCAGGTGTCCATGAGGACAGACAAGAAGCACAAGTGTCAACCCAGCAAAGGAGCCTGTCTCATCATCAGAAGACAAAGGAGAAGAGGCAGTAAGGACAAAGGAGAAGAGAGGAGGGCAACTTGGGCAGCTTCCCAGAAGCAGCCCTGTAGCATCAGACCACCAGGTTCTCAACTGGATAACCAGGGTCTCACAATGCAGATAATAGGGCAGCATAGAAACAGTTAAAAGAAAGGACCCTGGAGCCAATTGCAGGGACTGAATCCTGGCTGTGTGGTCCAAGGAAAGTGACTTAACCTCTCTGTGCCTTAATTTCTTTAGCTATAAAACAGAAATAAGAACAGTACCTACTTTACATGATAGATGAACAGATTCTTATTTCAGAGCACTCTAAATAGTAAATACTATGTATTCTGTTTAAAAGATTTTTTTTCTCAAAAAATAAAAAACAGTTGGTACTGGCAGCACACACCTTTAGTCCCAATACTCGGAAGATAGAGGCAGATGGATCTCTTTGAGTTTGAGGTCAGCCACAAAGTGAGTTCCAGGATAGCCAGGGCTATTACACAGAGAAACCCTGTCTTGAAAAACCAGATATATCCCCTCCCCCCAAAATGCTCTCTTAATGCCCTCCTTCTGGGTCAATAACATGCAGGCCAACAATTAGACGGGCCATTTGTAAGCAACAAGCGTTGTCAAAGGCAGGACAAACAGCAGTCCTAGCAGGGCCCCTAACTTGTCCTTGCTCTGTTCCAGAGATGCCTAGAAGCCACAGCTCCCAGGCTTCCTCTAACCTAGTGGTCTCAATGGCCCAGGGACCCCAGCTGCCCAGCAGGCTTGAGCATTTAAGCCCTAAAAGGCAGGCCTGGTCCTTTAGATGCCAAGCCCTGCAGCAAAGACGCCCTCTGCATACTCACATGACTTTCAAGTCCCAGTCTCCGCAGGTGACAAAAATTGACTTGACGTTTGGATCTAAGAGGCCTTCCTTCGCCATCCACTCATCGACCCTCTGGAAAGTACACAAGAACAGATGAGATTGTTCTTTTTCTGAGCCTGTGAAGAGCCCAACAGTGACACGCAGATAAGCCGCTTGTAACCAGAGCAGGAGGAAGGGCAATCTCACCCAGCTGAGCTGCGATGAGCTCTCAGCCCTGGCATGGTTCTGGACTACAGAGGTTCTTGAAGGATGATCCCTCTGGGAAGACACCACAAGTCTGTGTGTGGTGGAAAAGGGAGCCCCTCTACCCTTTGATGTGCAGCAGCCTACCCGTGATCCCAGCTGATAGTCCAAACACCCTTCTCTGACTTGACTGTCACACAAAGGCATAGCCCAGCACAAACACAGGCTATCCTGGGCTCTAAGAAGAGGGCAGAAAGGGGCCACAAGCAGGACTTTAACTAAAGCCTTGTTCACACTCATGCTATTTCACACTTACAGTAAGTGCTTACTAACTGTGTTTATGAACCTAGTTATTCATCAAGTGAAGATGGAGCCGCTTTTCCTTCAAAGGAGGTCCCACTGATGGGCAGTGAAGCAATGCTGCCTGCTCTAGTTGCTAAAAGCCTAGAATCAGGCTCTATTTTGCATTCTTCCTTTTCTTAGCCAAGGGGTCAAATTCAGCAGAGTAGTTTGAGAACTGAGCTCAAGTGCTAGTTGGGAAAAGACAGAATTCCTAAGCATACCTAAGTCTGTCTTTCTCTTCATGCCTCCAGCTGGTTCTACTGTTTGCACTCACACTGGAGTACAAACACGAACATTGGTATATAACAAGAGAATTATCATAAAGAATTCATGAAGCACTGCCTATTTTTCACAAGATTCCAGGCACAGGGAGGGAGTGTAGCCAATCAGACCACGGTTTCCACTTGCACAGGAGGATTATGTTTAAGTCTCTATCAGACAGTAGTTAGAAACACAGAAATGCAAGTACCACACACATCTAGGTTCCAACCCTGGGCTCTTCCTTATCCTGGCTATGCTGTTCACTGGAAGTCATTTACAAGTCATTTAACATTACTGAACCTCAGTTTCCTTCATCTAAAAAAACGGGGTAAGACTACAATCCTTACTGAGTTGCTCTGAGAATTAAATGTAATAATGTGTCAAATGCCTCTCCTAAAATAGACAAGAGGCTGAGAGAAGAGAAAGGGAGATGGAACAGTGACTGGGCTGCCCAAGGACCAAGAGGAAAGGATACTCCTGGCAACAGTGTGGGCATGGTATAATGACTGTGTATAAGGAGTGACTGTCAGTTAAAGTCTGTCTTCCCTGACAGATGGGGGAGGGAGGAGATCATCCTGCTTCATACACTGTCCTAATCCCAAACCCAGTCCTGGGTTTAATTTCATACAAATGTGTTGCCAGGCATGATGGCACATATCTGAAATCCCAGCAGTTTGGAAGCTGCGGTATTGAGGATCACAACTTGAGGCAGTCTGAACTACACAGACAATTCAAAACCAGCCTGAGCTATATAGCAGACCCTGTCTCAAAATAACAGATCCTTGATGACTGTTTAGATGGAAGTTTAGTGACAGCAAAGCCTACAGTGCAGGCTGGAAGTGCAGTTAGACCAGACTGCAGGGGGGACTGTGTGCTCAGCAGCAAGGGAGAGCACATGTGGGCTCCAATGAGGACACCCCATCTAGCAGGTGGAGCTAGCAGCCCTGGCACTTCTGAGGTGCTGGAGGCACCTGTAAGAGGACTACACACTCACTCAAGTTCCATGGGAAGCCAGTACCCAGAGTGTGAGAGCTGTTCCCTGGTATACACTGTGTAGACCACACAGTCTCTAAACCCTCTTTATAGTCTGTATCTATCCCTAAGAATCTTCCCCAGTCCAGGAACCTACCAAGCAGTGAGGCTGGGTATTCCACTGTTGAAAGTCTCCCTCAGCTTTCTGGCTTAATCCCTTATACACATGTACACACATGTGCAGACACACACCATCACATCTTTACCCAAGGTCAGCTAAAAAAAAAACAGACTTCATTCAAGAGAAGAGATACAATCAACCTAGAGCTTCCTAAATCCTTAAAACCTTGTGTTAGCTGGTTGACTCTATACACTTCACTAAGTGTCCCACATGGTAGGATGCTAACACCCAACTCAGAGTGGGAAAAGAGAGGAGGACAGGACAGGACTGTCAGAAGGACTCAGCCAGCATCACCATCTTTGCCCCAAGAGGCACTTACACTCCACCATGTGGCAGAAACTTAGTGAGCATCTTTCACGGTGAGTCTGCCCAGACATTCAGGCCTGACCTCCTCTGTTCTCCCTGGCAGGGTAGTGAGTCAGGTAAGCATCTTGCTGGCTGCTTTGGCTGGGACAAGAAATTCACATTTTAATTCTGTAATTGACTTAGGGCTAACAGGAATGGTACGGTGTCCCTATTCTCCAGAAACTCTATTCAGATTGATGCTGGAAATCTTCCCTCCTCATGGACAAAGTTCCAGGGGTAGATGACATTCAGAATACCCTACACACTTCACTCCAGGAAGGTGTCTCCTGATCACCGCACCTCCCCTCAACTCAAACCATTACTTGAGTGACCCCGGTTTGGAGCTGACCCAGAACATTCTGCCAGGACCCCAGCAAGACATTTCCAAGGAACGCTGTAAGTCCTCTATTCTCCATTAGAGCAAGGCTAGTTGGGGGATGCTGTTGGCAAAGAGCAACCATACTGAGGGGATCCCTCAGTCCTAGCAATAGACTACCTTCAAAAGGGCAGCAGGGCAGGGAGGCAAATACCTCATCTTACCTCATCTTACCTTCTGCTATCTACTGCAAGTGCACTCACCATGGCCAAAACTGACCTGACAGAGCCGGACCTCTAGACTCTATGGATAAAGAGTCCCCACTGTCACCAAGGTAAGCTAAGCCTGCCTCTCAGACCTGTTCTATCTATCTGGATGGCTCCAGGATGTTCAGGCCACAATGCTCCCCCAGGAGACAGGATTCATGGCTAAGGGGAGATGTCTCCCTTTTGATGTCACAACTCCACTTCTTCGCTGTCTACCTCCCATGCCAATGTGCCTTGCTATTCTTCTTGAACACTGATAAAGTCTAAAGCACCCAACAAAATCCACAGGCTTGCTCTGATCTGCCTCCTCTACAGAGCAGGGATGGGAAGGAACCTTTTTTCTTAGAAAACCCTGAGGCTGGAGGGATAGAGGAGAGGGAGGCTGAGACCAACCACAGCCCCTTCCTTACTCCCCCAAGCGGAGCATAGGAAGCAGTGCCTTAACCTTTCTCAGTTCCCTGAGGAGAATATCCAAGAAGTGTGGTCTCTGCCAAGAGTTCTAAAGTCTTTAATTTGATTTCCCTCACATAGACAATTGTTGTAATTATTCTGATTAGGAATCATTACCCAGTGCAGCCTCTGTACCCGACAGGCACATCTCGTCCTGCAGCAAGCTGCAGTGGGGCAGGCAGCCGGCTGCAGCTCCTGGAGGAGCTGACAGCAAACAAAAGCCATCGATGGGAGTTCTGGGTGAGTTAATGAAGTGCTCACATACCACAAGAAGCCAACACCAAAGCTAAACAAAAACACCTCCAGCCCCTGGGGCTAATCCCGTAAGGCTGGAAGGCTGGAAGGCTGCAAAGCAGCTCCCCTGCCCCAGCCCACCCAGCACAGGGCGCCAATACAGGGCCACAGGCTAGGCAAGGAGGGGGCTCTGCCTGACTTCTGGCAGCACTTGGACATCTTGTCAGTAACCCTGACGGGAACAGCTGGAGATGACAGATCAATGGTTCAATACTCTCAACAGCATGTCACTGATGTGACAGCAAATGTTATTCTAATCAAGCTATAATCATAGTCAAATTATACGGCTACATTCTCTGGAGGGGAGGGAAGGAAAGGCAGCAGGAAGAGGTCAGAGGTCAGGAATTAAAGGTCATTCAACCTACCTCCAGCACTTGCTGCAGCCTTGGCTGGCCATCCACCATGGCTTGAATGATCCCAGTGAGCTGTAAGGAAAGAAAAACAGCCTTTGGGTGGAAAACCAAGGTGCAAGGGACTCATGCTGGACAGTCCATTCTGTTCCCTCTCTTCCTCCTCCCAATGTGAGGGTTGGGGCCTCACTGCTTCAAGCTCAGAGCCAAGCCAGGAGCTCGGGAATCATGTCCTAGGATGCTATATGAAAATCCCCCACAGCAAGCAGCCTAGCCTGAGATAGGCCTGCACACACAGGCTCACAACAGGTCAGGCTCCATGCTTGTTTAAATTTTTATTTGGGGGATTTTTTTCTTTTAATTTTGCATGTCTTTTGTATTCAACAGGTTCAATAAGTTCCCACACATTAGTCATAAGGCACATTAGACCCCCAGCTTCACAAAAGTTCCCGTGGAGCCTGGCACACTTGGGTTAGAGTCTTCCCTTTCTCTGAACCTCTGTCAATCCAGCACTTCCCCAAACACAGAGAAAGAAGCGCCTCAGAAATCTGCACACCTTGGTCCTCAACACCACCTAGCCACGCTGGAAGGCCACCTATAAGCACTGGGGAGACAGAGACAAAAAGACCTAATGTATAGACTCTGGCCTAGGGACTGACTAACAGGCATAGGCTATGCCCAGTTCAGGCCTAGCTTGTTTTGCTTTGTTATTTCCAGAGTAAAAATATCCCTCAAGCGCAGAGTAGGCATAGACTTCTTATCAGTATCTGAGGCCTGAGGCCCTGTCCCAGACACTAGCTGAAATTCACAATGCTATCATGTCCCTGGCTATTCTCACAGAGAGTAGTATGTTGGGCTGGCTTGGAAACAACTTTTTTGTTGAAGTGAGGGAAGGGGTTTAAAACTCCAATTAAACTATAATTACATTTAATGAATACCAAATACCCAACTCACAGAAAGTGCTGGCTCTAAGAGGGAAGGTTATTTTCTCACAGTGACTTACATGGAATGGTAATACACACCTTTTAGGGAAGAAATTTTCATTTTAAGAATGCTGAGTTCCTCTAGGTAGGTTTCTGTAGTTCATCAAGTCATTATTAGGTGGTATTTTAAGGAAGTGTAAAGACACAGCCACTCTATTTTATATTCCAGAAACTGTTTTTATATTAATCTGTATTTTAATTGGGTAACAGCTGCTGCCTACAGACTTCCCATGGTCTAAAAGGAAAATAAATTAGAAAGATTAACTACACTGTTGTTTCGAAAGGCTTTAACCCACAGCATGCCCACCCGGCCGGCTGGCACCTCCACACCCTTTCCTTGCTTGGGAGACCAAAGAACTGCCCAGCAGAGGGAGGGCCTGAGTCAAAAAGGAGGAAAGACTGCTCTAGCACAGAGGGAGGGTGAGGCAACCTGCATGGGAGGAGGTTTGAATCTAAGAACTGAGCACTCCTCTGTTCATTCTCCAAGCACTCACTATGTGCCAGATCAGCAGGGGCCTGCACGGGAACATGAAAGTCTACCTTCTTGGAATTTGCCCGATTCACCACAGTGCCCTCCAATGCCCAGCTCAGTTAGCACCGAGAGCCTACCCAAGCTCAGAACCACACCCAGAGCAGACAGTTGCCTTGTATTTTCTGTCCAGTACATAGGGACCAAGACTCAGGGAAAGGCTCTTATTCTCAACTCCAGGTCCACTTCTAGAAGACAGCCAGCTAGTCAGGGACTACTGCTGATCACCCCAGCCTTGCTCATTCCCAATAAATTCTTCCAGGGTGGATTAGGGTCAGGGCTGTGGTGGGAAAGGTCCATAGCCACTCTCACTTCTGGAACGCTCCAGGGTCCAAGCACCAGTCTGCATCTAGTATGAGTACAAGGGCAAGGCCAGGCCACCTTCTCTGGCTCCACTCAGGGGAGTTCAGCTCAACACTGAAGAGCTTCAGAAAGTCTTACATGTGCAGACAAAGGCACAGAGCAAGAACCTAGGCCCTGGGAAAACCAGATGTGGGTAGGAAACACACTACACCTGTAGTTTGTTAGCACGGCACTTGCTTAATACACTCAAAGTCCTGGGTTTAAATTTTAGCAACACACACGCACGCACGCACGCATCACCAGAAGAGAAAACCAGGGCCACACAGGTGTCCTGCTAGAGAGCTGGAGGGCTCCTCACTGTAGGCCAGGCCTACTTCCCCCTACATGGAGGTCAACTATGCTCACCTTGCTTCCTAGATGGCAAGCATTTCCACTGGTGGCCAGCCAGTGTGGCTTACCTCTGAGTTCCTTTGGGACTGAAATCAACCTCAGAGACACAGTCTCCCAAGGGAAGTTTCCTAGCCCTTAGGGGACTGAGAGAGTTCTTGGAGAGATGGATTTATCACCCAAAGAATGAGCCACCTCTTACCAGCTCTGCCAGTGCACACTGAGTGAAGAGGGCTAAAACTGAGAAAGTTAGTCCCTGTACTTGATATGCAGAGAGACAATTGTATAAAATTAACTGGGAAGTTCTATCTTAGGCCTAACTTAAATCCTTCATGCTGTAGTTTTAAGCCCCTTCCTACTTAGATCAGTATATGTTTGCAAAAGGCTTTCATATCCTCACAATGAAAGGTACTAGAGCAAAGCCAAGTATTTGTTAAGCTGAGAACCAGGGCTCACAGGCTAAACGGTGCTCAGAGGCCTTAATCACTTAAGGTAGGAGAAGTGGGAGGAAGAATTCATGTTTGTTCTCTGGCTCCTTTCACCAAGGAATTACAGATTAACTCCCACTTCTCCAGATGGAGACCACAGACGGGGACTTTTGACCTGACTAGTCCCAATGCCCCTACCTACATGAGGGCTTTCTCCAGGGATGAGCTGGCTTCACTGGAAACAGTAGCAACTCCAGGAAGCAGCCCAGGAAACTCGGTGCCAACAGTATGTCAGCGGCCAGGCGTTCTCCTTTCACAGTTTATCTCCAACACAATCATATTCCGACACCAAGACAGTTTGTTGATGACATAAGCACTTGTCTCTGGTGTACAATCTGATAACCAGACCCACTCTTTCTCTTCACACAAAGAGACCAATAAATCTCACCCTTTATAAGTACAGGTGCAAGACAAAGCCCTTTACTGGCATTTAGCAAAATGGGTATTTCTGTTATTCTTTTTTTTTTTTTTCATGACAACAACAACAAAAGACTGTACATGGCCAGGGACTGCAGCAGCTCAGCTGCTAGAGCACAAGCTCACAAGCTAGGACAGGTTCCAGAGGCCACAGGAGAGGAACATCCACCCACCTCCACTAGAGCCATGTTCAGGATGAGTGTCAACAACTGCAACAGTACCTCAGGACGCTGAGACCCTCCTCACCAAGCAGCATGGCATTTGTAACTACAGACCTGCTCAGGCCAAAGCCTTCTCTCGGTGGCCCAGCACTATACAAGTGTGTGCTCACAGATACATGCACATATACAGGTTAGAGGATTTGTCTGTGTGGTTTTTGAGACAACATCTCATTACCTAGCTCAGCCCTTGGTATCACAGCTTTAAATTCACTAGGTAATCCAGGCTGGCCTCCAACTCCCAGCCTCCTGTCTCAGCCTCCTAGGTACAAAGATTACAGGCATGAGTCACCATGCACACCTATTTGTTGGTCTAAAACAGTCTCATGTAGTCCAGGCTGGCAGTGAACTCCTCATCCTCCTGTTTCTGATTAAAGAGTGCTGAGATGATAGGCACATGCCTCTGCACCTTACCATACTAGGGTTCTTAAGACCTTCTTGTGCATTGGAGAAATAAGGTCTGCCAGAAGAGCTGCTTGAGACCATTGCTTCCACATTTATTAATGAGTCTCTGGGAAGGTTAATTCCACCCACTGCTATCCCAAAAGTGGCTGTTGCCAGGGCAGGTGAGGCCTCAGCCTGTACCCATACTTCACCTCAAGACCTAGTTACAGCTGGTGTGGTATCAGGGCAACACTGAGGTAGGTAATGTGAGGTTTTCCTGAGACTTTACTCACTCAAAAGGATAAGTCAGAGGCCACCAAGACAGCTCATCTAGTAAGGTCATTTGCCACTAAGCCTAAGGACCTGAATTCAATTCCTGGGAGCACAGTGAAAGGAGAAACTGACTCCCACAAGCACACTGTCCAACATGCACCATAACACATGTGCATTCCCTCCCAAACACAGACAATCTCTGTTTTGTTTTTTTAAAAAAGTCAAGTCAACAGTATAGCAGCTTTGGAGGCAATGCAGATACCTCCTTGGCAACAACCCCTTGTTTATGGAGCACAAATGGTACTAACCGTCATAATGGGACAGAAATGGATCTGTGCTCTAGGAACTCAAGCTGTCTGATCAGTGTGATTTTGGGGTAAGCATAATCCAGGCTGTGAACTAAGGAAGGACACAGCCATAAGCAGGCACAAAGCACAAGAAAGCATAGGGCACACTGCAGCAGGTGAGACAGAGCAGGGGCTAGGAGTCTGAAGAGCACTGAGTTCTCAGCCAAACACCTCACAACCAGATCTTTATCTTCAAAACAGCTGCAACCTCCAGGATCCCAACATCACTCCCACCACCCTCCAATTGTGAACATTCTTGGGTAAAATGGTCAGAAAAAAAAAAAATGCTTTCCTTGTAGTCTCACAGAACTGCAGCAGAAACTGTGCTGGAGGATACTCTCTGGATGCCTCCCATCCCCACATTGTGAAGCACCCACCCTTGCCAAAGGCTGGGCCCAGCAGCATTCTGCCATTCCTGAGCAGGCAGCAATCACTCTAAGATCTAGGCCTCTGGTCCACACTAGGCAGTGTGGCCTCACAGCACCACACTAGCCTAAATTCCCCCATATCATTTGTTCCCAAAGTTAAGCTAACCAGGTTGGCCTGGTTAGTACCTGGATGGGAAGAGGGCATGACATAGCATCCAGGCCATTTGGATGTCTTGGTGGTAGCTAGTGTAACCTTCCACTATTGAATGGTGACTTTCTAAAAGGGAGCAAAGGCAAATTAGCCACTCACCCTAGTGGGAGAGGCAATTTCCAGAGGAAAGGGGGAAAATGAGAGACAGCTTCAACATCATAAGCTAGAATGAAAGGCCTAGGAAAATGGAAACCTGGACAGATGGGTACATCCCATAAAAAGCCTACCTGGGCCAGGTGGCAAATACTGGCTATGAGCTCAGGAGCAGCTCTGGAGCCTCGGGGCCCACTGATCCACCCACCACATCTAGCAGGCCGTTCCCCAGCCTCTTCCACAACAAAAATCCCTCAAGAACCTCTTTCTCCTATTTCACTTATATGTAGAAAATAGGTCTTTATATGAAGGCACAAAGGCTCAATACATCTCAGCTCCAAATTAACGTTTCCCATCACTTCTGCTCCCATGCATGCCTGACCAGGACTCCACCACAGAATGGCATGGCACAGCACATTACAGCGAGAGCAGTCCCAGGAAGCTTCTCCAAACCATCCTGGGAGTCAGCCCTCCCAGGAGCTCCTCCCCTCTGCTGAGCACACTTCTAAACCTCAGGCAGTCATCAAAATCTCAGCTACATTTTTGCAGTCTGCAAAATGGGATCTGCTAATCTTCACACAAGGTAGCCAAGTACAATGTGAGCCTAGACAAAGACACTTAAGCCTTGGCCAGCCTGTCTTCTCTGTCCTTGGTGGGAGAGTTGTGCTTTACTTTGCAGAAGAACAGAACAAAATCAACATCTTTTTTTTTTTTAAAGACTTATTTATTAAGTACATTGTTCTGTCTGTATGTATCCCTATATGACAGAAGAGGGTGCCAGGTCTCATTACGAATGGTTGTGAGCCACCATGTGGCTGCTAGGAATTGAACTCAGGACCTCTGGAAGAGCAGACAGTGCTCTTAACCTCTGAGTCATCTCTCCAGCCCCCCAACATCAACATCTTAAGAAGGTAAGAAAGCTTGAACATAACAAATCCTTCCAAGTGGCTGAAACCATCACCTCTTCCCAAAAGGCCCTATTGGAAAGAGACTGGAATGAGTCTGGAAAGAACCTGAGTCCCATAGTACTCATAAATTGATTCCAAGTGTCCAGTTGCCAGGAATGTTGGGGACAAGAAGGAAAGGGAAATGTTGGAAAATCTGGGGCAAACAGTATTGCTGCTGTCCCTGGGGACAGGTACTCAAGCAGTCACAGAATAAAAAGTCATTGCTGGGCTCTTGTGTTAACCACAGGTCAGATCTAGCTTTCCCTAAGTGGCTTGCATGAACCAACAATCCCGAAGCTCCTCTTCCAGCAGCCCTTACCTCTGTACAGAAGGGGGTAAGCTGTGGGTGGACTACAGGCTGGACATACATGTGAAAGGTAGACTCGATTTCCATGGTGCGGCCATTTAACTTCAGGATAGGGAACTCAATGATTTCCTAGAATGCCAAAGAGACAGAAGAGAAGGCAAGTCATTCTTATGATCAACCACTTCAAATAACTATGCCAGACTGAGAAAGAATGGCTCATTCCTCCTGCAACCCAAACCCAAGTCTAGAAGAGGGGATGTCAACAAGCCTCCCCATGGTTTTTAGGAAGGAAGACAGCAATGCAATCTACCTGCCAGTTTAACTCACAGGGGCCTATCATTTGAGCCTCTAAGAGAAAGAAAGGCCTTCCCTCTCTTACCCAGGATGCTGTCCTGAAAGGTCTGGATCTCTAAGTAAGCAAGCAGCCACCAACACAGGCACAGATTTCCTTGCATGAAGCTTAAACATTGCCTCTGTGTGTGTGTGTGTGTGTGTGTGTGTGTGTGTGTGGGGGTGGGGGGGGGGGTTCATTAGTTTTTGTAAGAAAGAAAAAAAAATAAACAACCCCCCCAAATAAAGCCAGAAGGGATATCAGAGAAAAGGAGAAAACAGAACACAAGTTAATAGGGGCCAGTGCCTCCCACCTTTCCTTCAAGCTCTGCACACTCCCCTTTGCCTGCCCCTACCCGCCCAACCGCTTAGCAGGCCCTTCCCAGTCTGCTGGAAGGTAATGGAAGAGAAGGAGGAGGAGTGACAATTTGTTTGGTGTCTCTAAGATTAATTTGTCTCCGTTATTTAATAGAGATGCACAGCACCAAGGTCCTGGTGTGCAAACAGGCTTGCAGAACGCTGGCTGTGCAGCACGCCTCATACATCGTTCCTGGAAAGGGAGGGATGCACCAGAGGGGGGGAGAGGGCAGGAGAGAGCACGCGCACCAGAAAGAAGAGGGAAACCAAGGGGAGAGAATAAAAAAATATATTGCTTTTTAATATTCAAAAACAGTTTGCAAAATTTAATCAAAGCAGAGGAAAAGCTAACATTTTTACCACTTTGACATTTTTATTAGCGCTTTCATAAATTTTTAAAACATGAATGGAATTAGTTTACAACACCCACACACACAAAAAACTGCCCTGAAAACATCTGGAAGAGACAAATAGGAAATAATAAAAAAATAAATAAAAGCAAAATCTTCCAAGTAAAATTAGCATGTGAAAAAAGCCTCCACTGCAGAGACAAAAGGGGTGTTTTGCCCACACAAGGGCCCCAACAATCAGCTCCAGGAGCATACCTACCCCAGAACCCTCATTCCAGAGAAGATCCTTCTGGCATCATCAAAAGCAAGGCAAACTAGTTCTCTGCAGAGACAGCCTGGAGAAGCAATATAGAGATCACCACTGCTGACTACTGACCTCACTCAGGGATCAGTAGGTGGGAAAACAGAAAGTTGTCAATTGCCTCCATGTCCCAAGGGATACAACTGCCATCCTTGAGAAATACAACCACTAATATTATGGACTTCTGTGTAGCCTGGGCTGTCTTAGAACTCACTCTGAACACCAGGCTGGCGTGGAACTCAGATCCACCTGCCTCTGCCTCCTGAGTACTGGGGTTAAAAAGGCATTCACCACCACTGCCTGGCTGGACATATTTTAAGTATTTATTTCAATTCAAAGTATAACAGTAAGGCTGAAAAACAAATCAAGGAAGTTGGGGCTCTGACTGCTTGGCTCCCCAAAGCCATTGGTTCTCAACCTTCCTTCCTAATGCTTTGACCCTTTAATACAGTCCCTCACGTTGTTGTGACTCTCAACCATAAAATTATTTTCATAACTGTAATTTTGCTACTGTTACAAATCATAATGTAAATATCTGTGTTTTCCAATGGTCTTAGGGGACCCCTGTAAAAGGGTCATTTGACCACAAGGGGTCATGACCCATAGATTGTAAACCACTGCCCTAGGCTGATGCTCAAAGATGGGGAAGCTGATGGGAGTTCACCTGGTCCCCCTGGGCTGATCCCCAGAGATGAAGAAACAGAGAGAACTTATTACCAGACACAGGAAGGGCTAAAAGGCTGCAAAGCAAGGGCAAGAAAGCCCAGACTGCTGCGTAGGTCAGGTGACAGACACTTCTCCTCCAGTGGAGTGAAAGGCTAGGCCTTTGTTCCCACCAAATACTAAAAAGGTCAAGCAGAGGGGAGTTCTGACCTGGAAACTAAGTTGAGCACACAGACTTACAACATACCCACTGCTGTTCCTAAAAATTCACATATCCATGATTCCCAAGAGTCAGCTCTGAGCTGTGGCTCCTAAATCAGGCCCCCTGTGACCTCCGAATTTGTAGTAAATCCTTCTTCTTCTACTAAGTAGGAGAAGTACTTCCTCCAACAATAAGCTACACAGCCTCATGAGTTTGGCTGCCCTGGTGTCTAAGGAAACAGAAAAAGCCAGCCCCTCACTAACAATGTTAGCTAGGCCCACAATGAGATTTAACCCGTGACACAAACTGTACTTTTCATTTAAACTTTCATTTGGAAAGAAACAGTGTTTGGAGACCTGCAGTTTGTCCTGCTAATAAAGACAAGTGTTGGGACCTTTAAGGATGCCATTCATCTTTGGCTTTTATTAAATTCAATTTTCTTAAGCCTGTGATACATTATGAAATTAGGAGTTGACATTCCTCTGGAAACAAAAATATCTATCAAACATAAATAGGGGGGAAAACCTCTATTACCAAGAATGCATGGCTTAAAGTTGATCTCTTTCCACTTTTTTACAAGCACGAGGTTTGTTTTAGATATCTGAAATGCTATTACAGACCTGGAATTTCATTAGTATTATAAAACAGAATACGCTTCAGCTCTTGCTCTGACCAGAACTCAGTCAGCTTTCTCAGCGGGCTCTGAAAATGCAGCCAAGCCTCCCACCAAAGCTTGGCATTTAAACTCTCCTGTTGCTGGTTCCTTCACTCATAGGGACATGGAGCGAGTGACCAAATTCAGTGACATACCCCTTAGACCTGTCTCAGCTCCTCGAGGGAAAAGAAGAAAGCAAACAAAGAAAGCAAACAGCTCAGATACTCAGGACACATGAGATCGGCCCATTAGCCAGACTTACTCCTCAAAAATCAAGGGGGATTCACAAGAGCAGATACACAACAAAGCTACTCTGGAGTCTTTCCTCAGCAGCATCAGGAGCTGTGACACCGTGACTGTACATGACCTATTCTTGTGAACCACTGAAATGCAAAGAGGAGCTTGTGACAAAAGACTCTTTCAAGAATCTTAAAAAAAAAAAAAAAAAAAAAAAAAAAGTTTTAAATGGAGCTAGAGAGATGACTCAGCTGTTAGGAGCATATACCTGAACTCAGTTCCCAGCACTCACTCACGGCAGGTGGCTCACGGCCACCTATAACTAACTCCTCTGACCCATCAGGGCACCTGTACTTACATGTACACACCCAGATACACTCACACAAAAGAAGACCCTCTGAGAGATCAGAGCAGAAAGATCACTTAGATACTTCTGTCCTTCCCATACTGTCAAAGCCCACACCCACAGCACCAGCCCAAAGAGCTCAGTCATGGGCTCACCAAGCTGGTAACAGCTATGCTGTAGGTGTGCCTAAACCATGCCAAACATTTTTTTGACTGATAATGGTCAAAGACACCACTCCAAAACTACAGGTAGATGGCATCAATTCCAACCCAAGGAAAGACATGCCCAAGTGCTAGCTTCTAGCTCTAGCTGCTCTTAGATAATGACAGCATTATCCCTGCCCTCCTCCTCTTCCTTCGCCCAATTTCATTACTCCCTCTGAAAGAAGAGAGTGGCTTATTTTTCTCTGAGGGGCAGAGGAGTGCTTCTGTCCTAGAGGAAGGAAGACCCCGTCTGTATTTATAAGCCCTCTTTCTGGCTCCTAAAAATAGCTCCATAATTCCTTTGTTTTCCTATGCCACTCACATTCAATTAATCTACTAGGGGGCTACTGTGTAAGACAGAGTGGGACTTGAGATAAGTAATTGGTGCCTTGGAGAAGTGCTTGCTAGTTAGTAAGTAGAAACAAACGACACCTGAGCAAACAAGGGACAGTGGAGGGACATACCAAGTATTAGGCTTCTCCCCTTTCCATTCACTTTCTTATTTTATGCTTACCAATCCTGGGAGATCAGTCATGCCATCAGCACCATCATCAGATCCTAAGTCAATACTGCTAAGCACCTACTATTTAGCAGACAGAGCCCAAGCACAGGCCCAACGGTGAAATGTGGACCTCTCTCTAGCATGCTCAAGACTGGGGAAAGGCACAAAGGAGATGGTCTCCAAAACTCTTTGCCATGTGGAGAATGGAATCATCTTGTTCCTCCACTTCTTGTTTCCTCCATGGTAGATACTCTGTTAAGTGCTAGCAGAAATGATCTCAAGTCTCTAGACAACTTAGCAGGTGGAAATCATTACTGTTGCTATTTACAATAAGTTAAGGCCCGAAGATGTTATGGTCACAGGCAACTATGCTGCTACTAAGGGACAGAGCTGGGACTTCCAAAGGGGGGGGGGGCAGTAAGACTGGCTGTTCTGTACAGAACTCAGTACATTCTCTCCTCAACACCCCTACAGCAGCATATGTGGATGTCCAGACATAAGTCCTAGAGAAATGTTCCTAAAGAGCCTCCTCCATGCTGTAGCCAGATAGATGGCACCAGACTGAGTTCAGGAAGGGAAGGAGCCTGAGCCTTCAGTCAGCATCTCTGGCTCCTGGCTCTGGTCCTGGCACTTGGTCTTCCCTTTCTCAACTTTAGTTGTGTGCAGACAGGAAGGGACTAACAAGTAGGAGACAGAGCCAGTATCTGTCAAGCAGAAAACACTCTGCTTTCTAGGATTTTCCACAGGATCTGGAAGGTGATCTGCCCAAGGTGACAATGTAGGTAGTGGACTAGGATCAAGCCCAGACAGAGAGCACTCAAACGCAATGTCTACTAGATTCATCTATTCTTAAATCTCTAAATGGTTTCCTTCCTCAACTGATACCAACCACTTAACCCCAGATTTACCCAAACTGTCTAGTTTGCCTGGGACCAGTGGTTTCTAGAACACAGGACTGTCAGTGCCGCTGCTGGTCTGCTGAT